CCTTGATGTTGTCACACAAAGAGGAGGGACCTACAGTTTTACGCCGATTCCGAACGGCGATTGTATTTTAATGAGAAGCTGTTTTTCATGGCAGAAATACACTCGGGGGTTTGCCATTGCCTGCCAAGGGGCGACCGCTGTTAAGAAAAAACCTTTTTTCTAATTTTTTTTGCGATGTTGCTTTGACCAGGGTTTAAACCCAGGCGCTGCGGAGTGGAAGCGCGCACTGTTTGCCACTACACCGTAGCGGCCACATAAATAAATTAGCTTTAATGTTTACTGATTTATTGAAGATTTCGTATTTCTCTAAATTCCCGTTATATGGGATGTGGGCGTGGTTATTGTCCGATTTTAAAAATTTTCGGCCATTTGGTATGCTGTACCAAGGCCAACAACTGTGCCAAGTTTGGATGAAATTGATACAGCGGTTACCAAGATATGCACATGTAATCATAAGTGGGCGTGACTACGCCCATATTCCAAAAATTTATAATCTTCTTATTTTTCTCCTAAAAAGTATTGTAAACATCAATTTTGAGTAAATTCAGCAGTTCCTAAAATATCACAGTTTTCGTATTTCTGTAAATTATCGTTATATGACAGGTAGGCGTGGTTATTGTCCGAGTTTGTCCATTTTCAATACCTTCCGTCCTACGTCCGAAAGAAGTGCACGTACCAAGTTTCGTTAAGATATCTCAATTATTACTCGAGTTATCGTGTGAACAGACGGACGGACAGACAGTCACCGCTTAGTCGATTTCTCTTTTCATTCGGATCATTTATGTATACATTTGTCTATATCTATTTCGATTCGTTTTGCCTGTTACAAACAACCGTTATTTGAACAAAGTTATAATACCCTTGTGCACAAGTGCGCTCGGGTATAAAAAACAAAAAAACAATTTATTTCTTCACTTCAACACTTATTATTCCATGTAAAACTGAACATCAATGAAATAGATAAAATTTTATCTGTATTTTAACTACAAAAAAAAATTCCACAATAAATACATGAATTATGTAAAAAATACTAAGACAAATTATTTATCAGAAGCATTGTTTCATACAAAATGGAAGAAGGCATAACAACTCTCAAAAAAAGCAAAATCGCTACAGCTAAAAAATGGTTAAAAAATCCGCATAAATTCAAATCCGCATTAAAAAAAAGCATAAAAAGAGACCTAAGTGTATATTTAGAAGAATGTTTAAATAAAATGATTTTTTG